GGCCTTACAATACCACAATGCATTGCCAACTATTAGCCAGCCCTTGACTCAGTGGGCACGTCCATTTATCCAAACCATGTACCAGAGGTTAGAGGAGGAATCAACCCTAACCTTCCTACTTTCCCATGTGCTCCTGATCCAATCTGGATCTTACCTGCCTGGTGCGACGAGAAAACTGTTAACATCACAAAGAACACCATCCAAGCTAAACGGGAGGGAGGGAAGCCGCTACCACGCTGGAAGTTTAAAATGGCTGAGGTAAGGGGCAAAATGCCTACCTACATATACCACAGCCCCACCCCCCCCTCTTCTACCCCACCCTTTACCTAGCGCTCCTCCCCCAGTTTATCTGGCCAGCCTTTGGCCGCCTCCTCAGGCTTTCAACTGAAGATTAGGTTATGAGAGTGAGAGCTAAGGAAGGAAGAGAGCTTAAGCAGTGGATGGAAATACTGAAAAAAACGTGAATTGTTGGTGGGTCTTGAGTACTGGTTTGGGGAACATTCAGCTAAAGCATTTTAAACACATGTACTGTGTGCAGATATTATATATATATATATATATATATATATATATATATATATTTTATATCTCTATGTAATCTATCACAGTGATCCTGGCTGTTTGGGATAGATATGAATATCTCCTTATTGTGCCCAGCTCTGTGTGTTATTTTTCTGTATTTGTTTATGTATGGCTATCTTTGTATTGTACTCAGCTCTGTGCATTTTAAAGATATCTTTATGTTGTGCCAAGCCTCTTTTATTGGATGATCATCTTTCTAATATGCTCTCTGTATTGTATTAGTATCTCTGTACTGCATAGGGAGGAGTAAAATTATGGGGAAGGAATCTTGCACCCCACCATCTTAAAACATCACAAGCTGCCACTGCTGATTTTATTAATTTTATTAATATCAGCTAAAAGTATAAATATTACACAATATTTAACTCTTTGCTTCTTCCTTCTCCATGATTCTGAATCACTGTCATAATTTGACTTGTTTGCACTAGATGTCTCGTTAATGCACGTATGTCTTTACATGATTTGACCTTACTAAGTTAACGCATCAGGATGTGGGCTTTTTATGAATAAGCAAGTCAGTTTGTCATAACTGTTGTAATTGAGCCAAAGACTGTTGATTTACATCCGAAAAACGT